GCAGTGAGCTTCAGAGTTGAAACCTCTCACCCTGGAGCCCCTAGCCTTCAAGGATTTGAAAGCTTGAGCCTTTCTGGCCAGGACCTGAATTAAGAATCATCTTGGCAGGTTGAGGGCCACCAGCAGTTATCTCCAGTCATGTTCAAGAAAGTAAAATGAAATTTTGGTCTCTATAGTGAACCCAGAGGAAATGTGGATCTCCATAGGTAGTAGAATCAAGCACTCCGATTAGAAAGAAGCTGAGTTGAGTTTTGGTCCTTGGTTAATTTCAAAGTTCATAGTTTTGTCTTATTGTGGTTTAATGTTGATTCTTTATAAATTAGTGAAACAGCTAAAATTTTCTTATTAAACATCTCTGTGAAGCAACATGATATAAGAATCATGCTAGAAAACCTGTGATTCTTGTCTAAATCTTAGTCTTGTAGATATTTTTTTAAAGAATAAAATGTGCCATGTCCTGATATCATCTGTATTTGATGTGGTGCAGCCTGCCTTGGATCTTGTACTTAACAAGGGAAAAAGGAAAGGTTTTTATTAGCCTCTTAAAGAACAAAACCCCAGCAACTCCTTGGTCTTTTCCAAATTAGGGCCCTAAGGAGTGCATGCCATCTCTTCCTTGCCTAAGAGCTGAGTAGTGTCATTTGAAATGTTCAAGAAGAGCTGGGATTCAGAAGGAGAAAATATCTTTGTGCTTACATCCTTTCCCCCAATCCAGTCATAAAAGCTTTATATGACCTGTGTGGATAAGGTTTAAAGAAAGAGGGAGCTGTGAAGAGAAAAACTAGAGGGGAACCATTAATTCCAAAGGAATTTATGTGGGGGTCACAGTGTTCTCATTTCTAGAAATAACCCATTCTGTACTGTACGTGCAACCAAGAGATTCTTTCCAGGCTGGATCCAGTTTATCATGTTCTCTATAGATATGGTAAATCAAAAAGCCCTCTGTTCTATTTTTAGAGTAGATTAAGTGAGAGCAATGATACTTAGATCATTTCTGGAATCAGCACATGGATTTCTCATCTAATTCTTCATGGGAATGAGAGAAAGGAGTTTTGCATATAATTTAGACAATCACACACAGTATAATCTTGAAAGAGACTTCCTCTTAAAGTCAAGAAGTTTAGCTTTTATTTCTGTCTACAGATTATTCCCTTGGGGTTAGATTAAGATTTACTTTAAAGAATAAGTTCTCTTACAGCATCCTGCCCACCTCACCTGCAGGTGTTCTACAGATGTATTTGTTGGGCTAATGAGGAATGAAATCACTCATTTCCTTTTTCTGCTGTAGTTTTATTAAGTGTGCTACATAGAACAATTTATAATTCAATGCTTTCCTAACACTTGGATCTATTAAAAAAAAACAGCTCTGAAAGGAAATTTGGCTATTTCTCTTCCAAGTTATGAGTTACTTTTGTCCTTGATAGAATTATCTCCTCCCTTTTTGGGGGGTGGTAGTTACTGGGGATTGAACTCATAGGACACTCGACTACTGACCCACATCCCCAGCCCTATTTTGTATTTTAGTTAGAGACAAAGTCTTACTTAGTTGCTTAATGCCTCACTTTTGCTGAGGCTGGCTTTGAACTTGTGATCCTCCTGCTTCAGCCTCCCAAGCCTCTGGGATTACAGGTGTGCACCACCGAGCCTGGTTTATCTCCTCCTGTTGAATATTCTGCCCTTCATTTTTACTTCCATTATATTAGGAAATGATGCTTTTATCATAGCATTCAGGGATAGAGTGATATCACACATGTGTTTAATGACTTTGTGGCTTCAGTGTCTCAGGCCTGGGAAGACGAGAGCAATGCCTGAAGACACGAAAGTGGCAACAGTGCCCCAGGCCCCCTGGGATGAATGACACACAGCAGGCAGCCTCACCCTCCTCAGTGGCTTTTTAATATGCACTGAATGAATGAATCAAGGTTTGGCAAAACAGCAAATATTTTTGGAGTATTTATTGCATATCTGCCATAATGCCTAGTTAATTTCATAGTTCCTTCTTTCATTCTTAAAACAACAACAAACATATGTCTTAAGGTTATACTGGCTTAATAGGAAAACAGAATGGAGTTCAACTTCTAGGCAAGAAGCAACACTTTGGAGTTCTCCATCCTTTTCCCGTTCTTACTAGGATCTTGGGAATTATTTAAAGGAAGAAAGGAGAAAATACCCTGACATGTCATCTTTTAATGTAACTCAGGGCTTCTCAATTCCAGTGTGAAGATGTGTCATCTTAATCACTAGTTCACATATCTTAAACTCTAAGGGTGATTTTTAGGGAGAGGATAATTTTGATTGCACCATATTTTTGCTTCAGGCATTGACTTTATAATAAATCCTCGATTAACAAGAGGCTCTGCTTTATTAAAAATAAGCAATAAAAAATTAAAATATAAAACAAAACTTCAGAAACAGTAGTTAATGTCAAGTGATATTTCAATGAACACTAGAAGAATCCAGAAAGTCATCTTCTTTTCTGACGTCGGCATCTTGTTGCATTTGGCTCTGTTGACAACTGCAAGAAGGAAGAAGTATCAGATAAGAAAGAGTTCTTTAGGGTCAAAGTTTCTTTAAAACACTTTCTTTCTGCCAAGCGGGGTGGCACACACCTGTCATCACAGTGGTTGGAAAGGCTGAGGCAGGAGAGTCATGAGTTAAAAGCCAGCCTCAGCAATGGGGAGGCACTAAGCAACTCAGTAAGACCCTGTCTCTAAAGAAAATACAAATTAGGGCTGTGGATGTGGCTCAGTGGTTGAGTGCCCCTGAGTTCAATCCCCACTACCCATCTCCTCTAAAAACCCAACTTTTATTCTTTTATAGTCCTCTAGTGTAGAAGAAATCTTTCTCTCCATCTTTCTCTGCATCAACCTTTTAACTTTTCTCTGTATCCCTCACCTATAGCAAGGAAAACCAGACATTTAGTTAGAGAAAATAAGTTTAAAAACCCTTCCTTTGCAGCTGGAGGTAGCTTGGTGGTAGCGCACTTGCTTGGCATGTGTGAGGCACTGGGTTTGATCCTCAGCACTACATAAAAATAAATAAAATAAAGGTATATTTTTTAAAGATACAATAAAGTTTTTTTTTTTAAAAATGAAACCCTACCTTTTTACCCAAGATCATAGCCTTTTTCTGAAATACTCCTTCTTTCTTAAGCTTCCTATTATAACTCTTTGCCACATGAAGCTATAGCCCAGGGTTTAAGAGCAGAACCCTCAGGGCCAAACAAATCGGGTATAAATCTCAAATCTGTCACTTAGAACTGTGACTTAGTGCAATTTACTTAACCTTCCTGAGACTTGATTTTCCCAATCTTTCCAATCACCCAACAGGGATAACTTCTTGCCCCCCCAGGGGATCTTAGAGATGATACACTTGGAACTGAATAGGCATTCGATAATATTTGCTGAATGAATAAAAAGTTATATGTCCCTCATGGTATGGAAGCAGCACATAGTCCATTCTCATTAAACTGAGTCATTGTTACTTCTTCTCAGCTGCTAAATAAAGGGGAATGAGCTTGTCTAAACACTCTAAGCAAATAGAGCAGACTTGAGACCTATGAGGACTCTGGTTGGGAGAACAGAATACCCATAGACCAGTTAATATAGCATTTTAGGGAGTCCATTGGAAAATTTCAATTCTAATTCTGCCACTAAGACTTATTTCCTAAGACAGCAGTCAGGTTTTGGGACGTGGGTGCATTTAAACTCTTCCACAACTGTATGTAGCTTTTACATTTGGCTTAATTGCCTTTCCCAAGAGCCTCCCCTGGTGTCTCTTGGGTCTCAGTAGTACCAGACCCATGAACCCATCTGTTCTCATTTCTCACAGTCTGGGATCCTCCCCAGAGTCTCCTGTGAGGTCTTCCTGCTACATTCCAGTGGCCCCTGCCAAGCTCAATGGCTTCCAGCTCAGGAGTGCAGGAAGGCCACATTCCACAGCCTTGGCCTGACTGTGCAGCTATGGGAGCTTTCTGTTATCAGTACGGTCCTTGAGATTGGCATGGAACATTATGCAAGGTGGTTTCTCCCAGTCCTTCTGAAAGGCAACAGAGCTCTTCAGCTTTTCTTTGACTTTCCTAACTCATCTGCTCTCCAGATGAACATCAGAGATGGAATATCAGGAGACCTATGAAGACCACTGCACTCTGCTTCCTGTTCTTACCTCATATTACCACAGACTGATTTCCTTGATGTCATATGCTCCTCTATTTTAATGCCAAGTCAACCTTAAAAGTGAATGGATAACTACTTTCTAACCTGTGTTTATTCTATAAGCATAATACCCTGTACCAGGTAGTTGGGCTGCTAATGCAGGATGAAAATAAAGGAATTTGAAAGTCTTCTCTCAAGACAATATCTTGGTATTCAAGGCTACTTTTTATACGTAATTCTATTTTGCACATCTGAAAAGAAATAGTACCGTGGTCCTCCTCTGTGCACTGCTTTAGCACTAAATTGTAATTTTCTCACTAGGCAGAGGTATGGTATGGAGGGAGTGGGCTGAGGTCTTTGAACAGGCAAGGGAAATTAGTAATTTCCTCCATATTTCCCTATGGTGTTTCACGTTCACAGTATACTTTATTAGGAAACTTCCTTTTAAGACTGTTACAAAGAAATTTATGTCAGTAAAGGCTATATAATATTTTTTAAATAGCTCAACCCTTATCTGTATCCAGTATAAAATGTGCAAAATATAAACCAGACTCTCCAAATTCCACAGTTTGTAACTGTTTGTGTTGTACAGATACATTCTCAAGATAAACTGTTTTGGTAATTTCTGGTGTTGACATTTATTTATGCTGAACTAAACTGTGATCAGTTTTCATAAAGGGAGGCTTAAAACTATACTGCTGTTTTCCAAGGCTACGATAGTTGTTTTTTGGTGATGATTAAACTAATAAATTGAATGGTCCGGTTTAATCGCCAGTGTTTTGTGTACACATGGTTGTAGATTTTCAACTAGAAAAGCAGAAAATAAAAGTCTGTTTTCTTTGGCAGGCATTTGATGTACTTGGAAGAGTTGAAGCTTACCTTAAGCTCCTTAAATCAGAGGGTTTAAGTCTGCCTGTCTTGGCAGCAAGGCATGAGGAATTACACAGAGAAATTAAGGAGTGCACAGCTGATGCTTTGCAAAGGGGCCAAACCTTAATCAGACAAGTAGACTCCTGCAGGTGAGTAAAGCTTCCTTCATCCTCAGTGTAACAAGCTTTTCCACAATTTCCACAACCTGTTAAAAAAATAAGTCGCATGATTTTTTTTTTCTGCTTCTGATGTTGTGCTGCATTATGATATGGCTTAAAAGGATCCATTGAATTTTGGTCACCAGTGATTCTGAAGGCAGCATTGCTCATCGAGAAGTGAGGCTATATTCTGAGCCTGAGGACTTAAATATGCTCAAGCTTTCTCTCTGCATGTTTCTGAGGAGGGAGAAGGAATTGATGAAATAATAAACAGGGCTTTATTTCTCAAGCTTTTCATATCCTAGCATCTTCATAGCATGTCTTTCTCCCTTTAGTTCATGAACCTCAGGTCTATCTATCCCTTTTCCCTTTCTGAAAAGAAAGAAAATTAAGTACAGAATTCTCTTTCGTTCATGATCTTGGTGATTGATCAAGCAAAACCCTAAGTAAAAGATGACTATTAATAACAATAGCTAAACCACATTTATAAACATTAATAAACAATAGCTAAATAACATTTATTGAGGCCTACTATGTGCTAGGCACTGTGCTGAGAGCTTTCAGAGCATTATCTTATTAATCCTCATGGTGACTCTACAAAGCACCGGCTATTAAGGTTTACCTTTTACAAATAAGGTAACTGAGACACAGAGAGCTTAAGTAACTCGCAAAATGTCACATAGACAGTTTGTGACTCAGCCAGACTTTGAATACAAGTGCATGAGCCCCAGACTTCCTGCTGTCTGTGCTTGGAGAGTCATTTCTTCGAGCATGTTTTGTGAAAGCATCAGTGTGACCTTAGACTTGGGTGGCATGAGGAGAGAAAGGGACCTTGAGAAACAGAAAGAATGCAATAGCAAAGCATGGGAAAGAACTGGTGTTGGAAGACAAAGGGGAGATGACAGAGCAGGAACAGGTTTTGGCTAGGAAGAAATGAAGGCAATCTTACATTTTGGTAGAGAGAAGCTTACATGGATTTGTACAAATGGTTTTCCCTCCTTCATATCTACAGTCACCTTGAAACTAAAAGATATTCAATTTGATGAATAATGATGTAGGTAGAATATGATAAAAATTGTTTTTCTGCTTAAACCCTTGTTTTACTCTATTTTGATATGTTTAAAAGTGCTGGTTTAAGAGTCTATGTTTAGGAAACTTTCCTTCCAAAAAACCTTCTGAAACTGGACAGAAGGACTGGGCTGTGGCTCAGTGGTCGAGTGCTTGCCTAGCATACATGAGGCACTGGGTTTGATCCTCAGCACTGCATACAAAACTAAGCACATAAATAAAGGCATGCTGTCCATCTACAACTACCAAAAAAAGAAAAAAGAAAGAAACTGGACAGAAGTTCAAAGCTAAGCCTAGAAATAATCCAATATCTTCTAGCAAGAGCCAAAATGTTGAGGTGGTAAGGTGGACAATAATTTTCTCCTTTGAAAAACTAACAAGAACAACTGTAGCTACTGAGTATCTTCGCTTCAGCTCCAAGCCATGCACCACGTCGGTGGGTGTCCATTAAGTTCCAGGGTCTAACATGCTCCTTTCTGGACCCAAATGTACATACAGGTGCTCCTCCCTCTCCCTTCCCCTGCTGCAGGTCCACTTTCCTGGAATGTGTAAGGGACTCAGGATACACAGAGGATAGACCATGAGGGAGAATAGGCACTTACTGTGCCTGAAATCAGGGTAACTGTTGGAGGTTGATCTGAGTCATGTGATGTCTGCATTAAGTGGAGAGGTCAGCATGGCTGTAATCCTTGGGGAATGATCCAAACTCAGTTTAGCCAGTGGATCTGAAAGGACCCGCAGATATGGATGTTATTTCTGCTGTCAGGTTACTTGCGCCTGCACAGCTATCTGGAGTTCTGTTTTTGTGTTGCTGCTTCCTATATAGTATTCCACTCCACAAATGGTAGTTGCTTGCTTTCTCTGAAGTCTGACCTCTGATCTCTGGGCTCTAGGATTCCCCTCCACCTCTCCGCTGAGCTTTAGTCAGGTAATTACCTCCCAGGCAGTAAACTGATGTGATCACAAGGCTCATCTCTTTTGTTTACCCTTCCCTGAGATCACTGTCCTTTGCTACAGGTTGTTCACTATCTGAAAATCAAGATTTCATACATTTGTCTTTTTCGAGTCATTTAGAACATGAGGGAAAATCCAGTCCCTGCTTTTGGGCTAAAAACAAATCTCTAGTTCAGTTTTGATGTTTCACTCCTAGAGTTAATAAGGTGGCCACCATTTTTTACTGCTAAACTAATCAGTTTTCTCATCTGTAAAACAGAGATTGATAATTTCATAGAATTTTTAACTGAATAAGATAGCACCATTTCTTGCACATAGAAAGCACCCAATAAATAATAAATGCACTAATCAGGATGAGGCAATGCTTTCTTTTCATATATACATAGTTGTAGATGAACATAATACCTTTATTTTATTTTTTTTTTATGTGGTGCTGAGTATCAAATGCAGTGCCTCGCATGTGCTAGGCAAGTACTCTTCCACTGAGGTACAACCCCAGCCTAGTAATATTTATTATCAATAGTCAAAAATAAGTGATTTTGTTTTATATATATTTTTTCTTTTTTGGGGGGGTGCTTTTTTTAACTATTCACTTTCTGTGGTTGCCATATTTATTTACTTGGCTAATTTCATTCTTTGTCTCCTTTATTCTTTCTAGTCTTAATTTTTATGTGCATGTTGTTTTTCAAAGGTAAACTCATTATTTTGTTTTCAAGAGGCAGACTGGATCTTGGCAGTAAAAACAATCATCATAAATATTTGAAGAAACTTGATTTAATTCTTTTTTGAGGGGGTACTGGGGATTGAACTCAGGGGCACTCAACTACTGAGCCACATCCCCAACCCAAAATTTTGTATTTCATCTAGAGACAGGGTCTCACTGAGTTGCTTAATGCCTCGCCATTGCTGAGGCTGGCTTTGAACTCATGATCCTCCTGCCCCAGCCTCCTGAGCTTCTAGGATTACAGGTGTGTGCCATTGCACCCAGCTCTATTTAATTCTTAGGTAACTGGATTAAAAATAATTGGTAGCATGTTTTCTGTCAATATCTTAAAATTCAAGCTTTCGTGGAAGTTTCAAGGTATTTGATTGCCCTGAAATTACATAGATTTTACAAGTCACTGCTACTTCCATTTTGCCAGAAGGAACTGAAGGTAAAGTGAAATTGTTTCTTGACAAAGGACGTTTTTGATTCAGAAGGTAGATGCAGAATAAAAATCCATTAAAAGCTGAATTGAAATGCATTAGAATCTCAGTTGCAAACTAGAGTGCTAAGTGGCGACTGACCTCAATCCTGGGCATTCCATCTGGGCCTTGATTTCCTTCCTTATCTAATGATCTATTGGCTAATGGACCTGGGTTCCCATCTAAGAAAAGAAGCAGACCCGAAGATGGAAATTTAAAGTTGTAGTCAATTCAGGAGAGAATGTGGAATTTAGAATGGTGGGGATGGAAATCAATGTAAATTTCAACAGAACAAAATGGTTTCCTAGACTTCTGGGTGTCAGCGTCATGACCAGAACACAAAATACCAAGGTTCCTGTTACGGGACGTTTGAAAATGTGCATGTAGAAGAAACTCAGGACCTCATGTCAGAGGAGTTTTATTTCATGAGTCTGAGAGCTGGAACAATGATACAATTTTTGAAAACTCTCTGAACCTCAGTTTTCTCATCTGTAAAACAGAGATTGATAATTTCATAGAATTTTTAACTGAATAAGATAGCACCATTTCTTGCACATAGAAAGCACCCAATAAATAATTACTTCACTTTTTTTTAAAAACTTCTATACAAAGAGCTTCAGACACAAAATTCTAAGAACCACAAGGTTGTTTCAAATGATTACAACAGAGTGAGCTGTACCAAATTGTCATGTTCATTTTAATTAACTGGGAAGGTTACGATTAAAATAGAGAAGATAAACATGTATCTTAAGGTAACAACAAACATAATTAAGTATTGGAGCAGGTAGGAATTTCAGGGGTCCTATAATCTGATTTTTTTAACTGATGAAAGGACCTCAGCTGGGTGCGGTGGTGCATGCCTGTAATTCCAGTGTCTCAGGAGGCTGAGATAGGAGAAATGTGAGTTCAAAGCCAGCCTCAACAATGGAAAGGCACTAGACAACTCAGGGAGACCCTGTCTCTAAATAAAATATAAAATAGGGCTGGGGATGTGGCTCAGTGGTTGAGTATCCCTGAGTTAAATCCCCAGTACCAAAAAAAAAAAAAAAAACCTCAGAAATTCAGTTTTCTGAACTAAAGCTTTCTCAGTATATATGAAACCTTTGTCATTGCTGTTCTGTAATCACCATTGTATTAGGAACAGACTCACGCTATTTTTCTCTCCTGAAATACATTTGAAGTTGGAGCAGCCTCACAGAGTAAATAGTGGTTATTTTTATATTTCCTTACTTTTTCTATGTCTGGCCTATAATCAGATGATAATTCTGAGTTAAGTTGCTTTTATCTTTACAGAGTATAATATCTGTCACATAACCTAATTATCCCTTAATGTTAGTGATATTTTAGTGTATTCCTTTGTATTGGGTTATGATGCAAGTTACCTGTTATCATATGTGAGAATGGCACACAGAGACTCTACAAGTTTGCAAGCCCTGGGTTCTGGCCTTCCTCACATCTCTTTCTTTTCTGGCCTTCCTCATCTCTTTTCTTGGCATCCTCCTCCAGCACTGAGTCTAGCAATAGACCAAACATCGATGGCTCCCAAGAAGAATTCTGTAGTTTTGAAGCCACAGGAAGCTGTGGTGATTGGAAGTGCTGATCCTAGGACCTTGTTTGAGGGCAAAGTTTTCCAGAGGGACTCCTTTTTTTTCCCTCAAGTACAGCTACTAATTCAGAGGTCAAAAACATGGAAACACCCAGCAGGACCAGGCAACCTTATGAAGTATTCATTTGCCTTTCCTCTTTGCTAAAATTAACTTAGGATTTATGAGTAAAATTATATC